GCGGCGGGAGCGGCCCTCAGGGACCCCCGGCACCGCCGGCCCTGCTTCTCCCGGCACCGCCGGCCCTGCTTCTCCCGGCACCGCCCGCCCTGCTTCTCCCGGCACCGGCTGCCGCGGGACCCCGAGAACCGAGCCCGACATCGCGCTCAGCTCGGGGCTGTCCCTGCGCGGGCGCCGTGTTAGGGGCCGTGGCGCCGCCCTGGCCGCAGGGTGCGGGGCGGCTTTGGGAGCAGTTCGTGCACCGTTGTGGGCACAGAGGGAAAAAGAGCCTCGGTGTTTGCAGGAAACGCGGAGCAGTGATCCGTATCCACCCGGGCGCGGGGAGCGTGTCTAGCACCCAGGTACGCCCCCGGGCAGGAGCGTCCTTACGGAGAAAGGTTCGAACCACTGAAGTTTAACCTTGGGAATGGGACGTTTCCCAGGCTGGCACACGCATCGTAACCCGCCCGACTGGAGGGGAAGGGGTTGTGTGGGAGAAGCACGAAGGAGTGGGTTTAAAGAAGGGGGATCTGCCGTAAGGGAGGCTCCGACACCATCCCGATGGATGTATGGATGTCACTGAGGAGAGCGGTGGGCGTGATGAGGAAAATTCCATCTCAGGAGACTCAACAACAAGACTTTGGAGTATGAAAGGATGGAGGAATTATCCTCAATCCTGTGCTCCCTCTGGATATTACCTAGAGATACTGCTGGATGCTGAGGAATGAGCTGGATCATGATCTCAATGGCCGTGTGGTCCACGGATCTACAGCTGGGCCACCCAGAGAAGTGCAACTCTTTGCCATATATGTGGTTTTGTTTCACCCTCTTCTTCTGTGCCACTGTCATGTGCATTCTTAGATATTGTAAAGCAGCTCTTTATCTTTCATTTAGCTGAATTTGGGATATGGGAAGACACTAAGTCATGCTGCTGACTCTCACAACACACCCCCATTTTTTCATGTGTCCAACAAGCTACAAGGTTGGCCTTCACTCTCAGAGGGACCAGCACAGAACAAGAGGATTGTATAAAGAAGTGTGTATAAAGTGTGTGTTTGGGTGGCTGGTGTTAGCACACAGTGGAAAGAGCCTGAAGGCCTGCGAGAGTAATTTAGGATTTATGCAAACACCCTAACTGGCTCACTTTACCCTCTACTGGAGCAAGAACAGAGATGCCCAAAGAACAGAAGCATTTCCATATCACTAAGCAACTGCCAGTGGCTAGTAGTAGAAAAGTTAAAATTTATTTCATGGGTTGTGAGTCTGGAAATCCCTCAGGACAGGGTGTTTAGTAGGGAGACTGATTCTGAATAAACTACCAAATAACAGATTCAGCTTAAAAACATAGCTTTAATGAATACAGATATTTTCATTCCCTGGAAATGATTAGACTGGGATCAGAAATAGGAAATACTGTCTCTGTGAGAGACAACAGCCTTTGTGTTGTCTCAACTCTCTTTGTTTTGCATTTCACAATGAGGAAGTCACACTATCAGGAAACCTACTGCTGTGTAAGAACACAAAGCGCCTGGTTTCTTTCTTCTCAAGTCAGAAAAGTCACATGATTTACAAGTTGAAGTCTCAGCAAAAAAAGACCCAAATATTTTCTCCCTTGACTGTTTTTGAAAGTCCTGCTTTAGTTTGCTTAGAAATATGCTGATATTGTGTTGCTCAAGATTATACTGTTAACTTGATTTAGCTTTCAAATTCACAAGGCAGAAGGAAAAAAATATTTAAAAAATGTCATGATGTGTCAAAAAGTTTAATGAAACAACATGAAATGCATAGAATTTAGTGAAAAAAAGGAAAATTAAAAATAGCTAATTAAGATATCTAGATCTCAGAGACTATAGTACAATTACTTAGTTATGTATTATTAGGGGAATTTTCCTAGAATAAGTAAGTTTAATAAGAATGGTAAGAATATTTTACAAAAAGGTTCCAAAATAAGTCAGTCTGTGAATTAATCAGACTGATTGGGCACGTGTTTTATGACTTCTTCCTTTTGTCTCTGGTCTGTTTGTCTTTGAGCAGGTTTCATGTCATCTTGACATAGCTGAGGCCAATGATGAAATCTTTAATGACCTGCACAGGGCTTGGATTTTATCCTTCAGTGGTCACAGCCTGTTGATCTGTCCTTCTTTCCAAGGAATGAGTAGTGGCAAGTCTTCTGAAAAGGATCAGCATTTTTTTTGAATTGTGCAAATATGTGTGCTGGCAGGTGGCTAGCAAACGTGTTTAAGGTAAACCAATGCTGAAATAATCTGTTATAATGAAATATGCACTGAATCTGGATTAGCTCTTCTGTACCAGCCAGCAGCTTCTTCCATGCAGAACCTGCTGACTGTGAATCCATCTGCATTTCCAAGAGGGTTGGACTTTGGTGTTTGAGAAAGTAAAATGGTTAGAACTATCTATAATGTGCATAATTCTTATTATTCTTACTGTATATTTTTCACTAAATATTACTCATAAGCGAAACAGAAAAATTGGTGCAAAATAGCAAGTGGCACTTTCTTTTTTAGCATATAACAGGGACTTTTATAAACAGCTGTTAATAAAAGCACGTGGAGCATTATGTAGTAACTGAGGCAAGTTTTCCCCACATCCTGCCCAGAGATGGAGGGCTTCTCTAGTCTGAAGATACAGGAAACTTCCAAGCCAGTTCCCCCAGATCATTTCATGGCAATGCAACTGAACAATTTATTCAGGGAGTTATGGGACCCCATCTGCACTTGTATCAAAAGCATGTTTTTATTTGCATCTAAATTTTTTTATGTTCTCTTTCCTTGGAGGATGGACAGAAAGGCTCAAAGTGGGCACCAACTTTCTTTCTTTACTGTTCAACTAATCAAAGTCTCTTCCTCTGTTTTAATTTTTGATTTCCTCCTTCGCTAGGAAGATTCCTTCCATTCCTGTATGAATGCCTCTCTCGTGCCTCAGAGGTTCTCCGTTTGTAATAAATAAGAGGAGAAGGAGAAAAACTCCTTATCCCACATTAAAATGTAGTGAGTTAATGATTTTTGATTGTGCTGATAAATTTTTCCAAGTATTTCTATCAAAGTTTTATGTCTGTCAAATCTGTGAAGCAAATTACGGAAAATTAATATTCAGTATTGACCTGTAATTTTTCATGATTTTGGACATTTGGGATTTTCTTATTGTTTTCAACTGATTGTTTTCTTCCTAGTCCTTAGACCTTGTGTTGATATTTATGAGTTCACAGTTGCTTCTGATGTTTTATTTAAGTAATTTAAAATTACAGTTTATCAGCACTAGGCTGTACATAGAAAAAAATATTAATCTCTGTCAGAATAGTACAAACACTAAAATACTGCAAGAGCAATGCTCAGAATTCAGGGCAAATGCAAAATTAACAGTTTCATGTGATAAAACTACATGAATTGCCATATGCTGGCAACAAAAAGTACCATAATTTTCCTTTATTATCTTTGAAAACATATTTTAGATCATTAGAACCCTATTCCTGTAGGCTAATACATCTTATCTGCAATTTGTAATTATGCAGTTTCATGAATTTGGGATTTAGACATAACTAATTATCTGTCTGAATCCAAAAATCATCTATATCATGTGTGCAAATGATTTGGGGTATAAAAGTTATAGAAATAAATGTTGGGAAAAATCCAGACAGGCCTCAGTTTTGGATAGAGTAAAACTATTATATCTGGATACAATAGAAGTCCCTTTGGCTCTGATGCTGCAGTGTACTTAAATCAGGGGGAAATATCTCAGGCCTTAAAAAGAAACCTATGAAATCTAAATTTTTCCTTATAACTAAGTGGGGTTTGCACAATGAGTAGGTGTTTTTATTATGTATCACAGTCACAGTTTTGTCTTTTGCACAGTCTTCTGCACTGCCTAGAGGTGATTCTTTTCATGGCACCTTGATTTTTGAACTTTCAGCACACATGCATACCAGGCTTCCACATTTTTTTTTCCCACGACCAGAGAGCGAGAAGCTTTGCAACAGCGCCCTCAGCTTTTTCACGGAATCACAGAATGGTTTCAGTTGGAAGGGACTTTAAAGACCACCTAGTTTTCAGGTGTTACCCTTACATGTAATGAATACTCTGTGTTTGCCAGCACATGATTTCTCATATCCTCATCCAGTCTCGCTGGTCATTTGCTCAGACTTCATCAAGGCGTGCCTAGCAACTTCATTGCTAACTTGTACCTCCTGTTTACACTGTTTTCCTGGCAAGCTGAAATGGCCAGAGAGAGCCACAAACATTGTGGTTGGTGTGGAGCCACGGGCTGTATATATCCCAGTGTCCGGCAGGTGCAGACACGATTTTGGCAAGTGCTCTGGCCCTTGTGGGCTCTGTGGTGTCTTGGCGCAGAGCCAGGGCTGCCCCTCTGCCACACACCCCAGTGCAGGCCCCATGTCATCGCTGCTCTAAGTTTGTCCAGCTCCCAGGAATAAAAAAAAATCTGATCAATTGAACTTCTTGATTATTCGCCTGTGCAAACCACACAGCTTATTTAACACAGCTGTATTTTCACAAAATCAATTAGGTTGGAAAAGACCAGAGATTATCATGTCCAACCTGTGACCAAACACCAACATGTCAACCAGACCACGGCACTGAGTGCCACACCCAGTTTTTCCTTAAGCACTTCTAGGGATGGTGACTCCAGCAACCTCCTTGGGCAGTCCATTCCAATGTCCAAACACCCTTTTCCATGAAGAAATAGCTCTACCTAATGTCCAACCTAAATCTTGCCTGCCACAGATGTAAGACTGTCCTCTCGTCCTGTCGCTGGTTGCCTGGGAGAAAAGGCTAACCCCGACCTGGCTACCCCCTCCTTTCAGGGAATGGTACAGGGTGATAACTCTTCAAGAGTCACTCTTCAAGATTTTAAGCCTCTTCTTAGAAAATTCCGATGCTCTGTTACCTTCCCTAGCAGTGCCACCAAGTGACGGGCCTGGGCAGGCGGCCGTGTTCCCCACGGCCGTGTGACGCCTCTGGGCGCGCCTCAGGCTCCGGGCACAGCGCCCAGCTGAGCGCCGCCAGCCCGCCTTCCTCACGGCACATGAGAAAACGGAGCATTAAAAAGAAAAAATAACGATGTTTATTAAGAGCAAGTCCCGGCAGGGCCCGCCCGCTCCGCCGGGCCCGCCCGACGACTAACGGTGTCCTGCCCCAACCTCCGCCCCGGGGAGCGGCCACGCTGCCACAGGGACACGGGGCAGGCCAGGGCCGGGCGGTGCCACCCGGGGATCCCGGTGGAGTGAGGACTTCCAGCTGCGGGCGGCCCGGAGCCCTTTCTGTGCGCGGCGAGCCGCCAGTCGCTGGTGCGGGAGGACCGTGTGGCTCGGGCAGGCGCGGCCCCGCGGTGACGGCCCCGGCGAGCACCATGCTGCCCACCCGGTAAGGCGGCCCCCGCGTCCTCCGGCGCGGGTGGGGAATGGCGGTCGGGAGAGATGGTGCCCCGGCAGGCCCGGGTCTGGGCAGGGAGGCCGTGCTGTGCCCCGACTCTCGCTCCACGGCCGCACCACGCTCCGCCATGAAGGGCTCGGGGCGCGGCCAGGGCGGGGCACCCCGAAACTTGAGCAGCGCCGCGGGCAGCGCGGCCTCGGGCGCGGCGTCTGGGCCGGGCTGGGACACCGGGCGTGAGGGGCCCTGCGGGGTGTACCGGGACGGCGCTTGCTGGCCGTGCCGTGACACACCGAGCCCGGAGGCTGCAGCACTCACTGAGGCGTTTCACCATCGCCGTTCACGTCATTCCTGCTGCATACGGGACTCCACTGCCTTCAGAGTGTTTTTTATTTTATTATTTTATTTTATTTTAGTGTGTTTGTGTTCCCGTTTACTCTTTTAAGTCCTTCATGAGTATCTGCAGACGGTGAAGACTTGTGTGTACATGATACATATGTGTAGATAGTGTAGATATACATGGAGAGGAGAGAGAGAGATGTGTAAATGGCCTTGCTTTTCTGTTGGTGCCTGAGGACCTGCCACCTCTCCTTTTCTGAGGTGGAATCTCAGTCCCAAAGGAAGAAAATTAAAGGACCAGCAATCCATATTCCTTGTCAGGATGATGCTGTGAAGTATCACAGGGGGATTTACACACCCTCTGTGGTTTTTTTGTTACCACAGTTATGCTTGCCTAGAGGAGGAGCAGTGCCGGCTAGTTACCTTGTAGAACACTTAGTGAATTGTGGGTGGATTACATTCTCTGAAGGGTTTCATGATTGTTCCTTCTTGCTTAATGGCTAAGAGGTTTATATCCTGCACTTTAGGCTTTTTTGAGTTGCTGCAGCACTAAGCCATGGAGGAGAAAACCAGGCTTAGCTGAATGGGACTGCTTGTGAGACCTTGTGAAATCCTTTTTGGTGTATTCCTCCTTCCACTGCTATGCACACCAGTCAAGTGCAGGAGAAGTGCATGGTTAGGGTCATGGATGATTTCCTGGAGGCACACGGACCCCATCTGTGTTAAGATGCTACAGGGTAGATGCTGGTGTTGAGTCTAAGTTGGCTGTCTCAGGGCATCTGAATAGTCAGTGAAGAGAACAATTACTGCCAGTGAAGCATTCTTCTTTCTTGTTTTTAGATAACAAAAAGGTGTCAGTTGGAATTTCAACCGTCTTGGAACTGTTGCACTGATGGTATCTAGTTCTAAAAATCGAGCAGAAAATAAGGACTGGTGTTTCTGAAGTCACCAGCATAATTCCAAAATTAAATCCTAAATTATTTTCATGGGATTATTTTTAATGCCGTTAATTCTTCTGCTCTGCCTATAGGTTGTGCATCATGAGGAAGCTTCCTTCTGTTCTGGCTAGGACACTCACTTCTGGGACCAGTGCCTCCCCAGGGCTTCCTGACTTGTCTGAAGGTAAAGTAGATGGTTGTGCTCTGGAATGATATTACTGAGGAGTTTATTTTTTCAGGTGGTGTCCCTTCCTGTATTAGTACGGTTTGGATAATGAACGTGCCCTTGTCTCTGAGCTCATGGTACAAGTGTTCAGGAAGCAGCAGAAAATCACTGTGTATTTGGAGGTGAATGGCACAAATATCCATCATTGAAACTGCAGATTTAGAGGCTCCTCTGATTCTTCAGCCAGAGCTTGGTTCTTTTCTGGCAGGATAACTGCTGCACAGCTTGGGTCTTGATAGAAAGTCCGTGTAGTGCAGATAGGTACAATGAGACTGGAGAGAATGGCCAAGAAATGGGGAATTGAGTGGAAATAATGCTGTACAGAACTTTTAATCTGTCAATCCTATTAATTTCGCAAACTTGTAGAAATCTTTTAATCGGATCAGCAGCATTGCCTCGTGAAATTGCTCTTGTCAATAGAGCTTTGTGTTGAAAGTTTGTTTCAGTGCTCTAATAGTAATGAACCATAATGCTCCTGTTTCAGAACCTTTTAAAAAGGTTTTCTTGCATTCTAATCCCTTGTGCTGAGAAAAGGGCAGGAGGAAAAAGGCTGGAGCCAGGTAGAAATAATGCCTTCATGGAGTTCTGCTTATTTCTGAGATCTTATTTTTTCCTTTGTTTTCTAAACAGAAGACACCAACAATTACTGATTATCCAATAAAAGAGAAAATGAGGGTTATTTGTTTTTAGAGAACTTATTTTCATTGTTGTTAATAAATGGTAATTTAGGAGGTTAAAGGAGTGAAGCAAGGATGCATGATGTTGCATCCTTGCAGCTTGCCCTGATTGTTTATTTGAATATTTGAAAATTATGCTTTCTAGAATGCTAGTAAAAACAGTGAAACAGTGAGGTCATCCTGGTACTGCAAGGGGTACTCATATTTTGTGGACTACAATAACTGTAAATATTTGAGATTCTGTTTCAAAATTGTTCAAATTCAAAGTTTTGCTGATATGTAAACTATTCTACTGTTAGGTAAACTATACCTTCAATTTGGTATCCATGCTTTCACAAAACACCAAATACTTTTTCTTACTATTTTTTCACATGCTTCCTTTTCACAGTTTTGGGTTCCTGTTGTGAATGCCCTCACTTCTTCTGTGGCTCTCCCAAAGGCTACACAAAGCAGGCCTTTGGAATTTTCCTCTGAAAAAACTCACATCCCACTTCCTGAAAAATGCTACTGATAGTCTTTCCAAAGTTAACACTGTTTGTCAACAGTACATGGTAGCCCTGAGTTTGAAGAATTGTTTGGGATTACACTGCAAGGAGATACCACACAGAGTCAGTGGACAGGGAACTGGAAAGCTGGCTTGAAGGGAAAGGACAGATTGAGTTGAAAACAAAAGGACACTGACTGTAAATCAGGCAAAGATAGATTGCCTGCAGTTACTAAAATTAAGAATCATCTGCCTAAACAGAACTGAAGCAGGTAGAATAATCAAGTAACTCCTTAGTAGATGTAAATTGCATTGTTTCTTTTCATTGTTAATCTAACCTGTGTTTTGTACTCCACAGGACAGTCACCCATTCATGTGAATAATGGTGTGTTGTGGTAATTTGTACATATTAAAATATTTGCTATAACACTAAACTTACTCAGCTACTGTTTTTCCTTACTTTAGCACTGATGAAAAATGAAGTGCTGTTGTTCTTCTCTGTTGCCTTGCTTGAAGCCCCTTTGCCTTTGTTGAATGGCTCTGGTCTTAATCGTGGCAGTGTTGCACTAAATCTCTGTCAGCACACTCTGTCTACAGTGCTGGATAAAACGTTTCTAAGAGGCTTGTGGGATACAAAATCCCTCATGGCAGCAGCTCCTGCAGTTGGCTTCATTTTAGACATTTGAATCTGTGTCCTTCACCCAAGTCCAGAGCAAGCTCTCCACCAAAGCTGATGGTCTTCCTGAGCCTGGATGCAGCTGGGGAGGCATCAGCACGAGGGGCAAGGATCTCACTGGTAGAGATGACTGCAGTGGTCTTGCCCAGCTGCCTTCCTCATGTCCTTTTCCACAGCACAGTGCAAATAAACTCAGCCCCTGCTGCTCTGGCATTCATGATCCACTGATGCCAGTTTAGGAGATGCTGTGCAATATGCTACGTGAGCATGATGGAGAAGTCCCATTTGCTATAACTGTTTTACACACTTAAGACATTTGGCAGATAAGAAAAGATTATAGATTATCTATAGATAGCTTATAGATTTTTGTGCTTAATTTTCTTACTTAAATTTCTGTTGTTGCTTACTTAAATTTCTAATATTTAGAAGAGCAGGATAGTCTTCCCAGGAGGAAAAAAAGGAAAAAGTTAAAAAACATGTACTTATAAGCAGTAAAATGGACTAGATTTGACTTGACAACACTTAGAAACACTTTACACTTTGTCCCTTTTAATGCTAAGATAAAAAATTCAATGTGTTCTCAGCCTGGAAAATATTTATTTTTATGCCTAAAACTGAAATCTGATTTTTTAAATGGGACTAACAGCTTGTATACATTTTTGCAGGTTTGGACCTGAGATTTTTTTTTCAGAGCTTTTTGCCTCTTGCGATGAAAAGGAAGATTAATTTAGTCTAAACAAAAAGAAAGTGCTGTTTATTCCCTGTTCATCCCAGCACAGTCTGCACACTGTTGAAAAATTGAGGTTTTGTGTTCTAGAAGCTGTAACAGTGTTTCTGCTAATGCTGTATTGATCAAATGCATGCTATGGCAGCTTCACAGGTGGAGTATGAGTAACAAGAAAGTAATACCTATGCTGTAAGCAAGCCTGCTGCTGCTTAAGGAAAAAGGAATCAGACCTTCCCTGTTTCCAAAAGAAATCAACTCTCAAGATTTTCAATCAGGTTCTTTCCTTAAACTTTTTTTGTTCTTAGAATTAGTAGTAGAAGTCTTCTAATTTCAAAACATGTTTTTAGCCTAATTTTGTAAAGAAATTAGGCCTAAGCAATCTATTTTTTTTGTCTTTTTCTGCCTATCTTCTTGTCTTTCTCATATTCCAGAACCTTTTGTTGATGTCAGCCAAAACAGATGAGCCACCAGTCTCAAAGACAAACATATTTCCACAAATTTTGTGAAAATTGGCTTCCAAGTCAGAGATTAGGTAGGGTGCCAGAGCTGGTGCTGGGGTCAGGCGTGGACAGTAGTGTTTGCTGGCTGTTGGTGAGTCACTGGGTCCGTGTGCTGGCTGCAGTCATTCCCTTGCCTCTAGCTCAGGCTGGCTTCTCTAGCAGGCAGGCAGAGCAGAAACAGGCTGGGAGTGTAGGGCAGTGGCTGAGGGTGCTGCAGGGGAAGGAGCAGGGAAGGGGAGGTTTGGGGTACAGCAGTAGTGGTGGTGTGGGGGGACTTGGGCAGAAGCTGAAGTGACTGAGGAGGAGGGGAGCAGAGCTGAGCAATCTGGCTGAGAGAGTGGAATGTGATTTAAATCCTAGGAATTCAGCTAGGCTCCTCCAGGGTTTATAGGCCAGCTTGCTGATCACTGAATACTCTGACCAGGCATTTAGTTTGAGAAATGCCAAGCCTGATAAACAATCAGCTTGTGACTCACCAGCAGCCTCTTTCAATTTCACCATGAAATTCTAGATATTATTTGGTTGCCCTTCCTTGGTGTGTCCCTAACATTTGAACCTCCTGGTATAAAAGATCTTTGTATATAACCAAGGGATCTCTTATGTACAATTCTCAGCTTCTATTCTGAGCTTGGGAATTGTTGCTGATTGTTTTCAGATGTTTCCAAATAGCCAACGTTCACCAGCCATGGAGTAGTTTGGTAAATTTGATGGGACCTTAGCACACTTAATAATCTCATCTGAGAAAGAGTAGAGAAGAGGCTTATGTAGATTATTCTTGACATTTAGGAAAAACTTATGCAGAACTACTATTAACTCTGAAACTGCAGACAGGGCGAGAATAAATTGTACAGGCCTGTCTTCAGTGTCTTAACACTGTGTTCTTTCAGACTGCTAAAGATTTGGGCTATGAAACCCTGCTGGCAAGAATCAGTCTGCTGATACTGTGTGTCTTCATGAGTGGGATTATTTAATTGGTATTCTCCTCATTCCATTTCCCAGCTGCACTGTTCCCTTTTATGTTCTTTTATGACTTTCTGATTTGTGTTATCTCCACAGTTTGTGTTTAGGCTTCATATTTTCACATCAAAATTCCCAATCTACTCTTGATCCAAGCTGTCTTTCAGCTGTTAATTAGCACTGGAGGTGACTGCACTAACAAACACTCTTTGTTGACTATATGCAATAAACTATGGCATCATGTTACTCAGCCCATTACTGTGATATGCCTACTAACAGCAGCAGTGAATTTGGCCAAACTTTCATTTCTGGTCTGCTATTTGCATGAATTTAATTTTCCTGTTTTGGGATGAGGGTTGTGCCTTTAACACCAGGCAACCTCATGTTTATCGCTTGCAAACTAAGCTTGATTTGCTTTGATTTTTTTTTTCCAGTGCGGAGCAAATTGAGGGATATAGTGGGAGCATCTACCAACTGGAGGTACAGTGTGCATTACATGTATTTTACTTCATTTGTGAAACCAAGGTGGAGCTCAGGGTTGTGGTAGTGGAAGTCAGCAATAGCTTGCTGTCAGGGGAAGTCAAAGATCGCACTAAAAGGTAATAGAAACAAAGCTTCTGAATTGATACTTTGTGGACAAATTTCTAAGATTTCTCTGGTAGAAACAAAATATCTGATCTTGGTGCTTACAAGATGGTCCTACTAGCTTTAAATCCAGTGGGAGCTAGGAGCTATGGAGTCTGGCTGTCAATGCTGTGTTGCTGTTACCTCCTGAGTTATCTCTAGGTGGATGTAGGTGCCTACATGGTGGATTTATCCTGCACTGGATTCAGAGGTAGCTGAGCTTGTTCACTTGTGAACAGTACACAGTGTTCTGTGTCCAGGCTGTGTTTTGAATGGCACCTGTGTCTCTTAGGAAAATTGTAAGCTTGAGATCTGGGTCTCCTTAATCAGGAGCATCTTGAGCATTTCCTTGTCTGCCCTAACCTCATTTTTTTATTAATTTACATATACTTTAAATAATTGCTGGTTTGGCTTTATTCAAGTTACTTTCCTCCCCCTCCATTACATTGAATAAGCCAGAGTTGACTGTAACCCTCGCTGTTACAGTCTGGAAAAGTAATTTTAGCATTCTGGAGTTTGCATTGCAGTTTGGTTGGTCCCATGTTTTTTGTTAATTTTGGCTGTTTGCTGAGCTCTTTTTTCCCACTTTGTGCAGTGATAAGGAAATGAAGAGAGGTGTGCCTGGGGGAAGTGTCTGATGTATCCAGGCCTTCTGACTCAGTTTATCTAAACACAACTTCAGTCATTCTGACAAAAATGCCTGAATCTGGGAACCTGATTTTTGCTTAGTAAGAGTAGTATATAAGCATGAGGGGTCTTGAACTTTTCATCAAGTCAGCTAGAAAGGGCCCTAGAAATTGTTTTTGAAAAAGCCTTTCCCACATCCCTGAATGGCTGAGGAGGAACGATGTCATATGGAAACGCCATTTGAAAATTGAAATTTTAGAGGGCTCTGGTCAAGTCTGATCTTCCATCTATTTTTTTTCCCCCACTGCTCCCATCCTGGAGGGAGAGCAGACGGAGGCCAGGATCACCACAGAAGTGTTTTTCTTAGACAGGTACTTCTCTCGTGCTGTACAAATTGCAGCAGAAATGGTTTGCAAATTAATGAATCCTTTAGCTACCATGAAGATGTAAAGCCAGGGAAACCACAGATGGGAGTGCTTGAGAATGACAGGTTAAATTCAGAGAGGTTTGGTGGACATGGATTGTGTAGCCTTTGAGAGCCCACTTTAAAAATAGAGTGACAAAGAATTGATACATGTGGAGACTGAACAGCTGGGAATTTAGCTGAGTTAGGCCACAGAATGACTAAAGTGGACAAATCTGAGGAACAGCTTGACAGGAGTCCTGAAAAGGGAGCTGGGGAAGGACTGATGTACACATATCTGGAATGCATGTTGGAGCAACATCTTTAACCATTGATTTTGCTAAAAGGAGACTTTTAGCACTTTTTGTGATTTCTCTTGTAAAGGCCAGTGGCATTTTGTATTTGTTATGAAAAAGAAATATCTTGCTTATGTGTTTATTCTGTTTTTGTGCTTGTAGTTAAAACTATTAATCTGTTCATTGTTAAATATAGTCCAGATGGAGTTGTGGCTATTTCAAAAATATATAAACATTACTCAGGATGTTTAGGGCAGGTGCTAGTTAATATTTAGATGAATTATTGTTACTGTATGAGTAGTACTGCAGTGTATTTGTTGAAAAATGTTACTGCTTTGAGCCTAATACGTCTGCATCTTGAAGAACACATTCTGAAGTGGAAGTCAAGAAGAATTCTGCTGCTGACCTCAGAGGAGCCAGGATGGAGCTGGTGAAAACAGAATATAGTTAAATTTTTATTGTTAGGTTTCTTTATGTTTGTAGACAAATTTCTGATTTACTTTCTGATTCATTTCTTTTAAGCCTTTCACTGAAAGAACTTGGTAAAAACTTTCTTGAAAAGTATTAAGATGCATCATCTTGGATCTTGCATCTTTCTTTAGTCATCCAGTAATATTCCATTTCTATTAATGGCATAACTTTAAACATTAACCCTCTGTAGAAGGCTGTTATCTTTCTCTTTCCTCTAAACTGCATGGTAATCATGTTTCCCAGATGAGGTAAACCACATCTCATGTTTAAAACAAACAAACAAATGAAACTAACTGAAGTTTTTTGCTTGACTTTCACTCTCTTTGATCATGGATTACTTGCATTTCCCCGAAGCTTATTAAACAGAAAAGAGGTAATATAAATATGTTGAAGCTTGACTTTCTGAAGTAATACTCAGCCAAGTAAGCCTTCATATTAAGTGACTAATACCCAGAATTCATCCAAAGTCAATACTTAAGACAAATTTCTTTTTGGTGAAAAAGTTTTCTGTTGTTTTCTTTATTTCTTCTTCTTTTTTTTTTTTTTTAATTGGTTTTGTTAAACACGGTGTCACTGAAATCTCAGCAATGCAGCAAGCACAACTTGAAGGAATGGCACACATCCAGAAATTTACCATAAAGTTTGGTTGCTTAGTGTTTTGTGCATTCCCTTGCTCTATGAAATGGATCCATATTTTTGCTTACTGCTTGGCTTTATACCAGAACTGTTGCATGTTTAACCCTTAGGTTTTTAATAGATGGGTATTGATTCTAGGGATGTTATGAATTATTTGCTTTATTCAGTCAGGTTGCACTTTTAAGGGGAGGGAACTTTGGAACAGGTAAGAGAGCATGTTGGGCAAGACTGTTACATCTTGTAGATACCTGTGCAAGGAATCAATGTGGTAGACTGGAAAGAAGGGAGAGTAAGCTGGCCCCTTCTCCATTGTGAGAGTTGCAGCCCCTCTGATTTGGTGGTGCTGGAAAAGCAACTCTGAAGGAATTGTTCTCCCTTTTCTGTGTTGTTACTTTCTGTAACTTTCTATAATTTTAAGATGTCTGTGTAGGAAGAGAGAAAGAAAAGTAGGTTAGTTTTCTTTGTCTTTTAGCTTGCTCTTAGAACTGATGCTGCAAAGGGGGAACTCACCTGTGGATGATGGCAAGTCTTAGCAGATTAGTTCACTTGTCATTAGTGCTAGCCAACACTGCATCTACCTTACCTCTTGGGAGAGATTGTCAGTTGATGGTCGGTCCTTTAAAACTGGCAGTGTGGAAGATGTCTGGTACTGTAGCTCTGGAAGACATGAATATACACAAAACCTCATAGGTTAAATTATGTGCGATCTGTTCTTTTCAAGGGGAATGATTTTGGTAGCACTCAGAATTAGATGCATTTTGTTCATCTCATTAGTGTGAAGTATGTGCTTGCCACTTGTACACAAACTATTTAAAAGATTGCTGTAGTAGTCTTGCTTAGCATCTCTCATTTTGTGCATTTCACTTTCTTTTCAAGGCACTCTCACTGTGTCTTGCTATATCTGCTACTTTTTGGTTTTAACTTCAATAATCGTTGATGTGACATCTTTTAGTTAGGGTTTCAGTTCTCTTGTTGTACTTCAGAATAAGGGTTTTTTTCTTACCAGGGATCATGTGCAAGCAATGCAAGAAAGAAAAGCTCTCCATACTTTACTGGCAAAACGGCAGGAAGATCTCCCTCCGAGGAGAATGAAAGATAGCTACTTGGAAGTTATTCTGCCTCTAGGAAGTCAGCCTGAAATAAGAGAAAAATATCTGAATGTACACAACAGCGTAAGGTAACAAAGCAACCATGTTACACCTACAGGAAACTGTTAACTTCTGTTTGCCATGTATGTAAGTATTTAATTGTCAACCTCCTATATTGCAGGTTTGGAAGGATACTTGAAGATCTTGACAGTTTAGGAGGTATGTACCTATGCCCTTGTAAAGACTGCACAAAGTGAGTTTGATTACTGCTGAGCACTGGGTGGTGTGACACAGTAGGGCCTTGGAGGGAAACCCATAATTCTGCCTGAAAGAGGAGGAAGGATGATAAAGAACAGATGGAAGCAAAATTGTTCAGCTTCCTGTCTCTGTCAGATTTTTAAAGGACCAGCTGCAAAAATAATTTACTGAAAATTGATCCTAGATTATGAATTTGTATTGAGTGTGAACTCAGAGAAAATTTGCAGAGTGCATATTGAAAATGAAAACTTACGATTTTTTTTTGATTGTAAAAAAAATCTCAACCAAAACTGCCACAAACACCAACAGTTAATGACATGCAAATATTTTTATCTTCCTTTTGGGGAGAAGAGAGTATAATCTGGAAAGCATGTAATGTATCCATTGAGAACAAATTAAAAACAATTGCTGTATGTTCTTGGGTCCTGCAAATTGTTGTTAAGGGTAAACAAACTCAGTTATTTAATGAGTTAGCATTCTTATTTTTTTTCCTCCTTTTTATTTATTTGTGGTCTTGAAGTTCACCATCTTTTTCTTTTGTGTAATAAGTGTGAGGTTGTTAATGGAACTGGGAGATACTTTTTCTTAAAATATCATCAGGTGACTTCCTCCTTCATCCTAGTTCTATAGCTGGTTGGGAACTTTTTGATGGAGGTTTTTGACAAAGAATTAAGTACGTATTAAGGGGAAGTTGTGAATAGACATCTTTTTTCTGTTCCTTCTGAGAGTCCAGATGGACAAAATTGAGGAAGGCAGAGAAAGAAATGAATGAATGAATGCATGTATATTGAAGATAGACAAAATAGCTGCATGAATGATATTTCTTCCTGGAAGGTGGAAGATACTGGTTTCAATATCTGTCCTGAGTTAGAAAAGGAGACTTCAAACTGTTGGCTACCTTGCATTGTTAGATGAGATGTGCTTGTTTTTCATTCTGTGCCTTGTTTAATTTCCCCAGAAGTCTGTGAAGATCAAATTTTTTTCCTGTGACAGTGCAGAATGTCTTTACTTTGTTTGCAGTCATACATGGCTTCAGTCAGTTCCACTGGGGATGTATTGTTTTGGGTTAATCAAGATTCTGTCCCAATGTAATAATGTTCAGGGTGGTCATATTGATACAGTAAGTTGATAGGCTTATCAGGTTTTAGAATTGTTACTCCAGTGAACATAGGGAAAAAAAAATCTTAGATTACTTGGAAGGATAAAGATCTTCCAGATTAGAATTTTAGAATTGTTACTTCAGTGAACATAGGAAAAAAAAAAATCTTAGATTACTTGGAAGGATAAAGATCTTCCAGATCACAGGTCACAGAATATTCTGGCTTGGAAGGGCCCCACAAGGATCGTTAAGTCCAACTCTGAAGTGTATGGTCCATATGGGGATTCCTTCTCTCTTATCTCAGTAAGTACAAGACAGATACTTTTGATAATGAAGATGTGTTGAGTGAAAATTACATGAACACTAGAAAAAACCATATCTTTGCAGCCTTGAATTACTCCAAGTAGTCTGTTTACTTGGATGTGCTCTTATGAACAAAGCTAATTAGTTTAAATAGTGATTTGGCTAGTAGTAACTGCGGTGTGATAAATACCTCTGACTATGGTTTTGTGCCTGTAAGGCACAGTTTATTTAATTTCTACCTCTTTAAAGGAATCAGTATTTAAAAAGTCCTCAGATAGCATATGTCCTTGGACAGCCTTCATGAAATCAAAATAGAAGCTAGGGGAGTCTGAGACAGGGAGCTGCAGAAGTAGAGTGAAGAGATTATGTGGGATTGGAAGTCAAGTGATGAGCTGGTTTAAAATGCTTGGTTAAATTTGTCTTTGTAGTAAGTAAATATGCATAAAACTGAGATAGCTGCTGCTGTTTTCTTTATAGCAGTCCCATGTGTTACATACATGAAGATGTGGAAGCTCTGCTCTCCGATAGTAGGATACTTTAGTTTGTGTTTTCCAGGTACCTCTTATGCTTGCAAAGATGACTTTGATCTGCTCCACTTATGTTTTTGTTAAAGAGCTGGTTCCATTTTTGATCTCTTCACAGTTCTTATTTGCTACACTCACACCAAGCAGGAGAAGCAGCAAAGGTCTCCTTTATCCATAGTTACAGCTCTGGTGGATAAAATCAGTAAGTGGCAATTTAGTAAATAAAGTAGTTTCATCTGCTTGTTTTACTCTTTCATCAGCTACTGCCTTCCCATGGTTGTTATTGAGGATACCTTTTTCACTCCTGTTTAGTTCTCTTCATCTTGTTTTAGCTTTGAAGTTTTCTGGCTTTTGTTGACAAGAGGTGGGAAGAGGCTTCTGTAGATGCTTTTCAGCATTTCATGTAATTTCCCTTCAAAATGCAACTTACATGGTTCCTGCACTTTTGTGTTTAGTTTTATTTTGGCATACAGATTCTTAGCTTCATTACTGAACAGTATTTGTTCTGGTGAGTTGGACCTTGCTTGTGTTGCCTGTTCTGCTGAACGCTCCCTTAGGTCTGATGTCCACCTCTGTGCCTGCTTCCTACTCCTGTTCTGGCTTCAAACGTCTGCAGAGGTAGAAACTGCAGACAAGCAGTGTGGTCCCTTGCAACAACAACGCTTCTGGGTTGTCTTTGTGTGTGTTGCCACTTTCAGATCACATAAAGGTCCTAGGAAATCTGGCCTGTCTAGTATTCATTGTGAGTGAGCTGTCTCCAGTAATCCCTAATGTTTGTCTTGTAGATTTGTGCCAGAAGATTATACAGCCAGACTGTGACATCAAATTCACAGGCAATGTTTCTTGGGTTGGGAAGACCTCCATGGAAGTGAGGATGCACATGCTGCAGGTTAGTTCCTGTGACTTCTCTCCATCCTACGACAGGCATGAGGTGCTTCAGGGGGGATTTACAAGAGCATATTATGACAGGACAAGGGGGGATGGCTTCAGACTGAGGGGTTTAGATGAGATAGTGGGAAGAAATTATTTACTGTGAAGACAGTGAGGTACTGGAGCAGGTTGCCCAGAGAAGCAGAGATGCCCCATGCCTGTAAGTGTTCAAGGCTGGGTTGGATGGGGCTTTGAGCCACCTGATCTTGGAAGGTGTCCCTGCCCATGGCAGGGGGATTGGAAGAGGATGTCTTTAAGGTTCCTTCAAACCCAAATCATTCTGTGATTCTATGATAAGTCAGGTAAACAGGTACATTTTTAAAATTCAAGTGTTCTCCTTAAGTAAAGTCTCTGATGTAGAAGCTAATGTCACACCTTTTTGTTCTGAACTCCTTACAGTGCTGGCATTAGTGGCAATTAGTGGTATATATGAAAGAACAAACTATGGCACTTTTCAGAGTAAAGGTTAAGTGGGTGCTTTTACAATGACTGTGTTGATTTCCTCCCCTCCTGCTCAATGTTTTTAATAAGCATCCCCTGGTAAATGTTTACATTGAAGAATTCCTGAAATGAAAGTTTTGATTTTTCCTTATCTTTGACCAATTGTGAGAGGTGTTGGAAGGAATGACAGAATGTGAAAGTAAGCAGAATTAACAGTATGATTGAATAGTTTATGTCAACTAAATAGCTTGCTAAACACGTTTCCAATTTTAGAGTTCAGTAATGTATTTTTTCCTGTCTCTTTTAGCTACATGATGGTGATTACAGCCCTGTGTTAGATGCAACCTTTGTCATGGTGGCCCGGGACCCAGAGAATAAACGGTAATTTGTAGGACAGGAAAAGTTTCCTGACTTCTGCTGTGCTCAAAATGGCAAACATGGCAGCTTGCTCTGTATGTGTAGAAGCCATATAATGTAGGTGGTAGATAAACCACATAGCTGATTCTTTCTGCTGGCAAGTGTTAACTTTCCCATGACAAACTTCAGACTTTAGCAGTCTGATACCAGGAACTGCTGGTAGTCTTGGGATTTGACCCTTTTTTTAAAAACAGATTTTCTGTGTGTTTGAGTGACTGGTCTGAAAGAACACAGAAGTGAATGAGTCTGCCAGAAGCCCACCTGCATTCTAGTAGTTGTTTGAATTAATGATTGAGTTTCAGTGGTTAAATAGTTTTTGAGTGATTAATACCATTAATTCCCAAATAGACACTTAATAGGTGTCATCAGAATAATTCAGGTTAAAACTTGCTTGTGTAACTAAAATGAAACTGGTAAGTATTCCCATAGAACACAAAAAACCCGAGACATTTATTTTGTAATTTTTCTCATTTTACTTTCTCTATAATTCCTTAGCTATTAGAATAAAAGGCTGCTTAGTTGCCATTTAGGTTTATGACTCCAGCATCAGAAAAATTTGCTGTAATTCTTACCTCTTTCCTATATAGCCTGCCTGTTGGGGTTCATTTTGGAGGGAGGGGGGCTCCCCAGGGTGTCCCCTAGGCTGTGAGTTGGCTGCCAGCAGCGGGCAGGCAAGGAGACTCCACACGGCTTCTGAGGGTGCTGATTGATGAGGGTTTATTGGGGGTCCCATCCCCGGGAACAGCATGGCTCCTGAGGGAGAAGGGGGAAGGAGGGGGAGCCTGGGGGAGGGAAGGGGCAAGAGGGGAGGAAGGCAAAGAGAGGAGAAAGGTTAGGAGGGTGACTGGTCTCGCTTGCACGGTTTAAGAGGGAGAATGAAATTGGGCGTGGATTCAGACTTGGGCCAATGGGATGACAGATACAGGATGGTTCAGGGCAGGACCACAGGCTTAGAATATACCATACATTTTGGAGGGGTGAGACAGGGCATACCATTTAAATAAAATGCTATACTGCGCCTACCCAAGTAATAAACATTTATCTGTTTCTAATCAGCTTGAATAATTGCTTGTATTTAACAAAGATGTGTTTTTAATGAAGAGGTTTTACTTGATATAATTATGTGATCCTGATAACATTAGAAGTAGTTTCTAGTTTTTTTTTTTTCTTCAGATTTGAAGGACAAAACCTAGAAACAGTGAATATGGTATACATTAAGAAAACAAATTATATTATGGTTCCCATTTTAAAGACTAATTTTTCAAAATAATGACATCAAGTCTGATATAATTACACAGTAGCAGATTGATTGAGGACAAGCCTATTTGTGCAGATAGATGCAAACTTCCATGGCTGTTGTACAAGCTAGCTGGCCACAGGCCAGCTGTGTTTTGGAAGCATTCTGTTCATTTAAGGAAGGTATTTATGTGAGGTAAAAACCCTTCAGAGAGTTACAGGATATGTTTGGTTGGCTGTAGCCCAACAGAAACAGCGTTGTGTGGCTTTGGGAAACTTGTATCTCAGCAGCTTGGGGCTTGATTTGTTAATCCACTCATTCCTGAGAGCCCTGAGGAGGAAGAAATCTTCAAGCAAGGGGAATGTATGTCATATTTCCTGGTAGTATGCACATCTGCCTCAGTTTCAACTTAATAGCTGGGAGGAAGCAAAGTTCAGGAGTTCTGCTACTTAGCAATGTTCCTAGTTTGTTTAAAATCAGATTTTTGTTCTGTCTCATTTGTGTCAGTAGAGTAAGAGAGTTGAAAAGCCTGCTACCACATGCTTGGAAACTCTTTGGCTAAATTGACAGACACTCCTGATGTGCTCTGCACACATTCTGGACTTCTCCCTTGGCAAGATGCTCCCTCTGCTTTGGATCTGAGTGCAGCACAGGGGCTCCTAATACTCTGGCCAACTGATTACCCCGTGGTGGGCCTGCAGGACATCACAGCTCTGTCTGTGATGGGACCTGTTTGGGTCCCCATGTTCCTTTTAGAAAGAAACTCAGGAGAAGTGGGAGAGCAGGGGAAGGAGCATGTAGCTCCATCCTCATTTGTTTCAAGCTGGAGTTTTAAAGTGGAGAATTTGAAAAACACTCAAGACTGAATAAACTGGACAGAAGACCTTTTTGAGCTAAAATTTCAGTCACTGAAACCTATGCTAATGGGTTCTGTCATAAACTTTCATTTTGTGCTATTGGCAAAACCTGAAGCTGATTGTTCTGTAGGGTTTCTTGTTAGTTATGTTCTGTACTTTGAGGGCAGTACTCAAGTTTTCTGTAGGAACAGTGTGTGGGTGTCATAAAATATGTGTAGAAGTTCTTCATCACATTGGTGAGGTACTAGTGAACTTCTGCTTTATTTTTATTTCACTGCAGTCAATTATAAAAGCCGAATTTCTCTTTGGATCTATAGCACCATGAAGTTACAGTTTTTAGCTTTTAACTTATGGGGGAAAAGGAAAAATGAATGGAAAGATGGTTGATTTCAGGTTAAAATCTTCAGAGCCATTATTTGTTTTTTCTTTGAGTCTTTGAACTTTAATACTATTGTGTTTTTTTTTTTTTTTTTTAATAATATTCAGTGAACAAGTCGAAGAGGATTGAATTCAGCACTGCTTCCTTACTGAAAATGGCTCCCACGGCAGAAGAAAGAAACATTGTGCATGACATATTCCTTAATACACTGGACACAAGGCAAGAAGGGAGGGGTGAAGGAGAACTGACATCTTGTGAAAGAGAAAATTGTCTTTTGAGTGGGTGCTCATAAAAGAGTAGTCTGGAATAAATGCACATTTAAATTCTGTGGCAGTTTATTTGAAATGCAGGTACAAATTATAATATGACACTTGCAGCTCTTAGAACAGTGTTCTGTTGTTCTAAACAAGCTGTTAGGAATAATTTTGAGGAAAAATGTTAATAATGTTTAACCAGATAAGAGAAAGGAATGGTTTTGCACTCATGACTTGTATAATCAGTTTTCTGCCATGATATGAGGGCAGGAACTGGTCACCTTTTAACCAAATAACCTTGCAATGTGTTTTAAATACAGTACCTGACAACATTATTTGAGGGAATTGTTAACATGCTTTTCTTATGCTTGAGATTTTTGTGAAGCCATCTGATGCCAACACTGATTGAACAATGTTTAATTACATTAGTGCAGTGTTGTATTTATGATAATTTATAATTTCTTTAACTTATTAGCCTATACAATTGTTATTTTTAAAGCTGTTTACCAAAGCTGCTTTCTCTTAAAATCAGCTGTTGTACTTGTGTCTGGGTTTAAAAACTTCAAAAACTGTCTGTGTGTTTGATGTTGAATTATTCTATTAGCTCATGTGTGTTTTTATTTCCTATTATGACTTAAAAAACAGAGCAAGGCTTTTCTGACAAAGTGTGCACTTTGTGGTTGTGATTCATCGTTTCTTTCATGTACCTTTCTCAAGCCTCTTCATTCACATAAACTTGCACATTAGCAGAAGTTTTTGAAAGATCAGGAGCATAAGTTTATTGCAGTAACAAATCAAAGGACAGCTTTAGATAAGGCTTCAAGGTCAGCTGGAACAGTGTTTAGTGATACCATTTCTATTTTGGGTTTATTTTGGTGTTCTATATTTTTATGGCTTTTTTTTAGTATGTGTCTGCATTTGCTATTTCTGCTTTTTTGGTGTGCTGAATTTTGCCAGTTCTGTGGACTGTAAAGTTTATTGTCTCTTCCAAAGGACAGTGAGTTTCCGGAGTCGTAAATTACCACCCAATTCAGTGTGGATGGAAGATGCAAAGCTAAAAGGCCTGCAGATTTGCCATCCTGAGGTATTTAGAAAAATATTAATGAATTACAGAAAGGTCCTTAAGAAGTAACTTTGAGAGGGAATTTTTTTACAGGGACACATAGTGACAGAACAAGGGGTAATAGCTTTAAACTGAAAGAGGAGAGGTTTAGAATAGGAGTTAGGAAGAAATTTTTTGCTGTGATTGTGGTAAGGCTCTGGAACAGGTTGCCCAGAGAAGTTGTGGATGCCCCATCTCTGGAAATGTTCAGAGCCAGACTGGGTGGAGCTCTGAGCAACCTGATCTAGTGCAAGGTGTCCCTGCTTATGGCAGGGAGGTTGGAACTGGATGTCTTTAAGATCCCTTCCAACCCAAACCATTCCATGACTATGAATTTTTGCCTAAGATTAATCAAACCATTATTTTGTTTGGCTTCTGCAGTCCTTGCAATTTAGAGCTAGGCTAGGCTTTTGCCAATTTTTTGTTATTTGTTTGGATTACCACTGCAAAATGGACAATTTTTAATGACCTTGTTTTCTTACCAGCCTGTTCATTCTGTGTAAATAAATTCCTTTGCAAAGTGTTTGCAAAAAGTTCGGCCTTTGATTGCTGATACAATTTTGAATTGTTACGTTATGCTGTCAAATTAGTCAGATAAGCTCCTATTAAGTAAAGTTGCTTTGGGCATTTTGAATTTTACATACATATTTCAGTAGTGCTTTTATCTATTCAGGTGTTGGGACCTCTGTTAAATAATGTGAACTGAAGTGCAAACTTCAACACAAGGCTTTGAAAAGAATTTGGTATTTGTTTCTATTTACAGGAACGGAACATCTTCAATAGGATCTTTGGGGGTTTTCTCATGAGAAAGGCATTTGAACTGGGATGGGCAACTGCTTGCAGCTATGGGTGAGTTGTGGACCTGCAGTGTTTATATAATCCAGAGCATTTTCCTCATACACAGAGGTTGGGAACCCAAGCTAACCAACCTAATGACAATCTGAGCTGAAAAAACGTAGGTGTGTGGTGGAATCGTGCGCTTATTAGTGCGCAGTGCTGCTTTGCTTGGAGCATCTATCATATTTACAAAGAGATTGGCATCTTGCTCCTTGGAGCTTGGGTTTTAAGCATTACTTGTCAAGATAAAAGATGCATCCATTTTCTGTTTTCTTTTATCTTACCAAGCTATTGAGACGGACTTTTTAACTATATAACGTATTCATTATGTCAAAGAAATATTACATCTTTGTATTCAGTACACAAGAAGAATGGGTTCTAAACTTCTTCTGTTAACTGATTGAGCTTAGGAAGTGTGACTGAAGTCATCACCCAGTGAAGGTCTATGTATAAGTTTAATGGGGTATGCAAAGCCTGACATAAAGTGTTTTGTGTCAGTGCTTGAAAAACTTATGCCTGAGCAATGTTGCCATGAAGATTGTCTAGCAAGTGTAAGTCATAAGATACAATAATGGAGCAATAATGTATCCGTAGAAAGTGTGTACTTCATTGGTGTGAGAGATTTCCTCCGGTGATGACATAACTCCTTACATTTCCTGTAGCCTCTGTTTAAGAAGAGATTTATTCTCTAGTAACCTTCATTAAAATGCTGACAAGTAGATATTTTAAATTTTTGCAAACATCCCTTTTATTCTTGAGAAGAAATTTCTCTTTTGTTTCCTCAGGGGTTCCAGACCCTTTATTGTATCTGTTGATGATATCATGTTTCAGAAGCCAGTAGAAGTTGGATCCTTACTACTGCTTTCTGGACAGGTAGGAGTTGATTTCCTTATGAAAAGGAGCAGACCTTGTCTTTGCTGTCACCAGCATTAGTTACTGATAATGAACAATGTGTTATGAGAGTGTGTAACTTTTCTTGTTTAACAGTGTAATGAAATCTGTTTTCAGCACTGGTGATGAATTACAAGCTCTAACTCTTGTTTTAACTGTGTAGGTCTGTTATACAGAAAAAAACTACATCCAAATTCGAGTACACAGTGAAGTTTACAATGCAAATACCAGGGAGCACCATACTACCAATATTTTCCATTTTACATTTATATCAGAAAATGAGGTCCCACAAGTTGTACCTAAGACATATGGAGGCAAGTATCCCATTAATATGTTGTCATCATAATTCTGTGGAAAAGATTAATTTGTTTCTCTTGGAACACTGGTCATTTTAATAACTGAACTATTGGCATTTAAATAATTCAACAGAATTTCATGGCAAACCACACAGATTTTATGCTTTGATGACAGTGTGGATTACTTCTTCCTTTTGCCAGTCTGTTTAGTTGTAGTTGTCCAGTATTGATACTAAGGTACTAATGTAGTTTTTCTCTTTTCTCTACTTTATTTCAGAGTCCATGTTGTATTTAGATGGGAAGCGACATTTTACTGCAGTCATGAAAGAAATCTGACAGGCACTGGGTGCTGCAGCAGCATGCTGTCTTGGCAAGGGCTGTCACCAGAGGTGGCTAATGGACAGGTGCTTGTAACACTCAAAGAAAAACCCTACAACGCCCAAACCCAAACCAACCAAACCCAAACTCCACACCAAAACCTGCATTTTCAGTACTCTTCATGTATTTGCATATATTTGGATTTTTTATTCTTTACTGCTAGAATTTATTGAAATCTTTTACATGCCAATGCTAGGAAAAGAGGCTGAAAAAAATGCAGTCTTAGGCTTTGGTTAGACTCTCTTTTGTCTACTTTGAGAGATCTCATTGCAATCTTTGCTGTCTTGTTACCATCTGCTGCCTTTCCCTTGGTAGCTCTCCTTTGTGTTTCCCTTTTAAGGGATAGAAGTTCTGTCATAAAGAGGTGTGCAATAAGTAGATACACACAGGTGAGGCAATTTGACCTCCGTTCTTGTGTAAATTAGGTGAAGGGTCATAATTCTTTTTTGAACAAGGACATATGCATCTAAGCAGCAGCAGAGGCTCAGAAGTTAGTAGTGTGTGCACAATGGAAAGCAGGTGTTTCCCATCACTGGGGATTTTACAAGGTTATTGCAGCTTCTGTTTGGATGGTTTTCATGTTCCCTTGGGAGGAAACTGATTTTTGCAATGAAATGAGGTGGCTAGATGGTATTTTTTTGGCACTCTGTGTCCTTGCCAGCCTCTTCTAATTTTTTGTTTGTTTGTTTTAATATATAACTGTGAGTTCCTTAGTGAATTATTTCTCATGGCTTGTAGACTAGAGGTCTGACTGGTGAGACTGGGTGGGACTGGGAAATGGCACTGTAGAACAGAACATTTTGGTTTATTAAGGACTGGGAACAAAAAAGGTAAAATGCTGCCCAAATGGTAATGGTGATGTTTGGTGCTGCAGTTAAGGGTCCTGAGAATCTGTGTTGAGCAGCTCCCAGGTCAGCTGCTGAATGATGGGATCTTTATCCCACTGAGGGGTGGTACAGCTAGAGGACAGTCTCCTCCTGAGCTGGATTATTTATCTGTTCTCTTGGTGGACTGTAGTGCAGTAGGAGTATTGCACAGCTCTAAAAGTTGTCAAGTTTACCTGTGGAGGATAGAGAACTTCCCCAACACAGAGGGGACACAATGGTGGTCTAACTATGGCAAATAAATAAAAGGAACAGAGTACTTGGTACTGAAGTGCTTCTGATGTAATGGAGAAAGTTTTCAATTTCTGGCACATAAAGCCCAATTTCTTGAAATCAGGAAGCTGAGTGGATGGAAGGCATCAACTTTTAGCAGTGAGTATGTCACAAGCATGAAACTGGTTCTCTGGTACATTCACATCAAGATTGATACCCTAACTGATCAGGACACCCAAAGAGGAGTTGGGCTCAGGGGTTAAACAGATGAAATGTGATGTCTTACGATACACAGGTATGGATTCTGGCTTCCCCGTGAGGTTTAAGATCTTTTGAAAAGAGGATGCAGCAAATATGTAATAAGTAATTATGTCAATCAGCACAGATGCATGAACCATGTTGGTAAAATAAAGTAGCATGTTGAGCTTTTATTTCTCAGTAAGAAGGCCTGAGATAGTCACAATTAGGAGCAGTTTCCTTTGGTGCTAGGATGGCATGAAGTTCATGACCCCTAGCAGCTCTTTGCTATTCCTGTGAGGAATTGTAATTGAGCACTGTAATAATCAGCATGTTAGACATCAGTCTTTCCTTCTTAAGATTCAGCTGCTGCATTGGTAAGTGAGATTGCTTTCCAGAGTAGGTACAGGGGTGTGACCTGATCCAGAACAGATTCTTGCATTGCTCTGATGGTAAACTCTTTGTTCCTTCCATAGAGTTTCTCTCTTCAGTCACACTCCATTCCTGACTCAGCTCTATGACATTAAAATTTTAATGGTTATGATGCTGTGGAGATACATTGTATTTTCTGGGTTTTTCCTTTTTAAAACTGACTCTGTTAGACTGACCACACAAATAAAGAACTGAAATTGTATCTCAGCTTCTTCCTCCTTGTTGCAGGGATCAATGTTGACTGTTAAAAAATAAATAGGAAGGAAGGAAGTGAAAGGATCTATTTCAGAACTATGTTTTACTCCTGAGTACCTGCAGGTTTTTATCACTGACCCAGTGATCCTACCCAGATCACTTTTTTATAACACATATAAGTTAAGGGGATACCAAATTCATCCTCTACTGACTTTTCAGCTGTATTTAAAGATGAATTTATCATAATTTCTAAATTCAGCCTTTGGGAAGGGGTTGGAGAGAAGAAGAGGTAATAGAGTACGGAGAAAGATGTGACATCACAACCTCTGGACACAGTGAAGAAAATGAATGCCACAAATGAAGAAACATAGAAGAATTGATGTGTTCTCAAAGTTCAAGATAACTTAATCACATACCACAATGACAATAGTTTCAGAATGTATGTGCAGCCATACAGAACGTGTGTGTGTGTGTGTGTATATATGCACATATGTAAAAGATAGATCCTTTTCTGTTTATTGCTATATATATGTACTCATGTATTTTTTACTCTGAGATGGTAACTCCAAGCTGTCACCCTCTCTGGTATCTTTGTTCAAGGGTGTGCATGCTGCTTTGTGCCTCTGTGTGTATGTGACAAAAATGTTCTCAGCTCTCACATTTAGAATTAAAATATTTCAACATAGTAATTCATATTGTGTTTATGTTGCAACTTATATCCAGCCTGTCACTGCTATAGATGACTAACCATTACCACAGAAGCCTAAAGGAATCGCTAGAAAATCTTTTTATTTATAGTAAGCTTAACTGTATAATTAATTGACTGTGGCTTTCTAGCAGGAAGCAATGTCTGTGCCCATTGTTTCTTGGAATACAGTGAGGAGGAGCAGGATTGCCTCTCCTTACTCTTTCACATAATAGTGATATAAAAGGAGATTTCTGTGGGATTGGCTGAACTCAGTGCCCAAAGGAATGCCTTGTTTCAAATGTTTTTATTTGTATGTGGTTAAAAGAGTACTAAAATTACTCAAACTTCATGTAACAGCTTCTGATAGCCCTTTTTCAAATAGGGACCATTCCTTTGCAGCCCTGTCAGATTTTGCAGCCATGTCACATTGTACAGCACTCTGGAAAGAATTTTGCAGGAGCTGGTCTAATGTGGGCTATAGAGCAAGTTTTAGTTCAGAAACCTGCTCCAAACTCACTGCATGCTCAGTTGGTTTTACTGCACATCCAGTCCAACCTTTGGTGACACTGGTTTGATTGCTGATCCGTTCTTAACTAGGCATGGGAGAGATCATTTCTTTATGGGCTAGTCACAGGCTAACAGGAAAATAAAAGGGTAAATACTCAGCTTTCATGAAAGAGAAATTGGGGACTGCTTTTGTGGGAGGTGTAGTTGGATGACCAGAGCTGCACAGAAAATACACTGGAGCACTTCTCTGCCAGCAGAGATCCTCATCCCTGCAGGGCTCCTGTCCATGAGGCTGGACACACTGCTGGGCATTGGCAGGTTGGAAAATACCTGTAAGGTCATTGAGTCCAACTCATTGAGTACAGGCTCCCAGCAACGTGTTTATTTTTTAGATATACTTGAGTTTGCAGAGGAAGAGGTTTCTGTGGGCAAGGAATGGGCATAACCCAGGAAAGCTGCAGAGGGCCAATAACATCAAAAGTCTGTGCCATTATTATCTGAATTGATGCTTCTTCGATACTTCTGGAAGTGACATCCAGGTTTCAGCTAGATCCATCCTGCTTGGAGAGGTGGCTCTCATCTGCAGACCTCACCACCATATATAGATTAACAGCTGAGGGGGCAGTAGAGGGGTGTGGGATGCTTGCCCAAAATAGCAGAGGAAGTTGAAGACTGTGTCTCATTATTAGTCATTACTTGCCTTGCAGGAGCATTTTTGCTTTTTCTGTAGAAGACAAGCTCACAATGGCATCTGCATTTTATGCACTTCTAAGAGAGGCCCCTGAATATATCCTGGGGTTTGGGAAAGCAGAGATGTATGAAATTTAAGTTTTCCACTATTTCAAACCTCAGTTGGAGTACTGGAAGAACAGACTGCTTTGTCATTTGTTCATTTCAAATATGTATGATCACACGGCAACTCAAGTCTTTGCTTAAGGACTACATCCCTATTTCCCTAATACTTTTTATTCCCATTGAACTGTAAAAAAAAACCAACAGCCCTATGCCATCCTTACACGTTTAAAATGTAAACGTACATTTATAAAAACCTTGAACGTTTACTCAGCTGTGCTGCTGTGACTTAAATTTGCAATGGTCAAAGCATGCAGACGGCCCGTTTTCTTCAGTCACTAAGTGTTCTCAGCAGAATTTTCTGTTCTTGACTCAGGCTGTGTACAGCTTTTGACGTGTGCTGGTGCTGGCTGCTAGAGATACACCCTGTGGCTGTGCTGCTGTAACTCGCTGCTCACCAGGCTCTGCGAGGAGCCATGAGCTGGGTGGAGTGTGTTCAACACATGGCAGACAACTCATCTCTGTCTTTATCAGGTGTCACTGGCTGGCTTGGTGCCAGAGGTTCCTGCAGCTGGGAGAGCATTAGGTGTGACTGAGAGCCAGCTGGCTGGAGAGGTGGGCAACGCCTCTCAGGAGCAGGGCACCAGCTCTAAAGGGGGCACAAGCACTGCGTTCATTTTGTGCCTTGGGCTGCTGCTGAATATCCTTGTGAGAGCTGGGCCCGCATTTCTCACGCTGCAGTGGCTTGGAGTTATTTGAAAATTGTGTTGTTCTTAGTGCTTCAGGGTTGATGTAAACAGAATCCAGAGTAAAATTCAAGGTGATTTACATCCTAGTCATGTGAGAAGGCACCTCTCTCTACAAGCTGCCCTCTGGTCTTTGCTATCACAAGCTGGAGCAGCACATTAGGAGCCTTTCGGGTTCAACATTGATCCCGTTCTGTTACCCTCCAGATGGGATGAGGGACTCCTTTGCCCAGACCTCACAGGGAGGCTGAGGCTCAGTGAAGCTCTGCTTGCCCTGGCTGTGGTTCCCCTCTGCCTGTGGCATGTGCGTAGGTGTTATTTGTGTCAGAGCTGAAGTGAAGGAAGCAGCTGTTCCTGCTCTGTGTCTGCAGTGACTAACATGGAGAGCTGCTCAAAACTCACCCAAGACCACAAAATCATGTAACTTCACAGGGCAAATGCAAGTCCTGGTTGGTTCTGCAGAGGTGTAGTGAAGAGTCTTTGTCCGGGGCAGGGAATTGTATGGTCTGGTGAGGGAAGAAGTGAGTTCTCAGGCATGTGGGATCCAACCAAGAGTAATAATGTAGTGGTGCAGATTGGAGATGGAAGATGCCTGTTGACTTTTCAAGGATGACCCTGGTGCAAAGCTGACACACATTTCAGTTGCTGTTTTTCCAGTTGCACAGACTTTAGAATACTGTCAAAAACAGGAAGAGGTGGGAAGAAGCAAGATGACATCCTCAGGAAAGGGTTCTCCAGCACACAAGTATGCCTTACATGTTCTTTTCACTTGAAAGAAGAAATTCTTGTCATCAGCCACAAGAGTTTCTGATGATCACATGTCAGTACTTATCTTGGAAAGACTACAACTACTCCCTTAAACCTAGGAGCCACATTTAGGGAGTGGATTGGCATAGGACACTATCCCCTACATCCATCTGTTAACAGAGCAGGGACAGGGACAAAACTCAGAAAATGTGAAACAGAATCAATCTTATCAGCAAATACACTACAAATTTAAGCATAGAAAAATTTACTGGTTCAGCCCTTGAATCACATGAACTGGTACAGGTGTGGTTTTTTCAGTGCAGATGTAATGATTTATATAGTGTAGGGTATGTTCTTAGTAGTTGAAAAATGTTTTCAAGCTTTACACAGACTCAAAATTTAATTCAGCAACTATAACTTTTTCCTGGGTTTTAAGTTAGCTGCTATTGCTATTGGACTACAGACAAATGCACCATAACCAAGTGGCTTTTTTCTAGCTTTTTTCTAGTTTCTAGAATGTGACCAAACACAGAAGATTTTTGCAGAAATTAAGAAATCTATTTATAACAAAAGTCATGAATCTAAGCCCAAGATGCTAAGTGGATTTGGGGAAGACTGAGCATTTAAATACCACCTAAAGAGAAAACATGTATTTCATAAGAATATTCTCTGATAACTAATGAGGTACCTGTGCTTCACACAGGTTAGACTTCTGTTTAAAAAATGAGCCATTTGATGTTTTACTACTGTTACATGTTAATCAAACTCACAAAAGTACCAAAATTAATGAAATTTTATTGGCAAAAATCAAGTTGAATGTGACCTATTGAATTCAACAGAAGCGAGCCTCAGTTTAGTTTATCAAAATACTTCAGTTTTCCAGCTGGATCTGGAATTATCTGTGCAAGAAAGAAAATGAAAATATTAGTCAAAAACCAAAGCCACAAAACCAGCAAACTGTAAAGCCAGAACAGCACAGTATTTCACAGTAAGATGCTACTGTCAACTCACTTGCAACACTCAAGAGTAATTTATCACTTGATTTGGTACTAGATTACTGTTCATCTCTAAAGGTACCTAACAGCAGTAGCAGAGAGATTCAACCGACTGAGGCATGAGAGAGTGCAGCCTACCAAAGGAAGGATTTTGACAGCTTGCCCCAAAAGCAAGATATTTTGGTAAAGTAGTATCTGTAATCTAGAGGCTCAGAATTTACTTACAGTTCTTCCCTTGGCCACCACACTCTCATGGCTTCCTCTGGTTTGATCTAATTAAATCAAACACATTTAGAAGGCATGACTACATCTTTGAGAAAGGCTTTTTCAACTACTCTGCTATTGTCTGTATCTTTTGCACAGAGCAGGTGAAGAATGCTTATGTACTGTTTCACATTACTAAATTGGCAATGCTGTTAGTATCAGCATTGTAAGACTGTTTGTTAGAAAAAATATCAACGTCATGTTATCTAGGTGATCCTAGTTATGGAGGGCAGAAGTTTTCAGTGCCAAAATATAAATGTTGGGCCAGCCAGCCCTCTTTCATTTTACAGTCTTAATATCCAGCTTCCCCCATTATGACACTCCTCTGCTAGCTCGCAAAAATTGACTCCCAGCCTCAAGTCATCCTAGGAAACTCTCCCATCCAGCAAAGAAACACGGTTTAATATTCCACTGGTTTTACTATCAAGTACAGTGCTCACTAACTCTGCTTAGAGACTACTGGGACCTGGTTTTTGTTGAGCCAGCTCTTTAACAACAGTGCTCTGTCATCACCAGATGGTTCAGAAGGAAGCCACATGCTCAAGTGACAGTGATCTCATCTGAACGAGGCAGCTCAGTGAAAGTTTCATTATTCTGCTGAGGCTCACTCTGGGCCAGGGAACACAAACAAGTTCAGTGAGTGTTTATGTGAACTCTGGCTCCTCTGCCTCCAGTCACATGGAGCCCAGGAGTAGCAAAGAAGGGAGGGGAATTGCACTGCAAAGCAGTGCTCCCTGCTGGAGTGCTGACAGTGGCACTGGCTCTGGCACATACCACAGCAGCCTGGGAACTTCTGTCTGCCTTTTTTTAGGTAGTGCCCAGAATGTGCAGTAAGAACCACCAAGAATTTGTATGGACAAATAACCAAGAAGATACAACAAACTCAAAAGTTTTGAACTTTCCCTCATCAGGTGTTAACAGGAAAAAGTTCTTGATCACAAACTCACTGC